ACTCTTTCCTTGCTTAGTTTCATTGTCTTTTCCCCTTTTTCATTTCTGAACGCATTTGATATGGTGGTGTCTCTGTTTATTAATTTCTGTCATTTTCCTTCTTGTTTCTGCAGGCTTGTGGATACGATCAATAGTTCAATTGGTCAAGACCCTAACTCAAAGTTCTTAATTGGGGTTCTGGATATCTACGGATTTGAGAGTTTCAAGACAAACAGGTGCTTAACTGGTATGCCTTTTGTTTTCATAATGGACGTAAAACAAGTGAAACTGATGGAAAAGGTGTCGGTTTGAACTAATCTAACTTACACTAAAGCTGGCGTGATATTCTTTTGTTGTTTAAGCATCATTGCTATCACTTCAGATTATAGAGATGCCATGAGCCCCAATTCAAAATTCTAGGCCTCCTTATTGCAGTCATAACCAAACATTGTGGCACTATTGTCAACCATAAGATGAAGTCAAATAATTGAACTTAAAAAAAAATGATTTTTCGGAAGTTAGATTGAAGCTGACTTTCATCATTTGCAGTTTTGAGCAATTTTGTATCAACTTGACAAACGAGAAACTTCAACAACATTTCAATCAGGTTTGTTTATGAAGGAAATTTCTAACTTCTTTATTATACTTGGCGTTCTTTACTCTATCCTTATTATATGCGTTACCTTGTTGAACAGCACGTTTTCAAAATGGAGCAAGAAGAATATACGAAAGAAGAAATTAATTGGAGCTACATTGAGTTTGTTGATAATCAAGATATCCTTGATCTCATTGAAAAGGTTTGCGTTATCTAAATCTGCATGTTGTTCAGAAGTTGGATATTTATATAGAATCCTTTCTGATTCTCTTTTTGTTTTTACTTTTTATGTAATTTCAGAAACCTGGTGGCATTATTGCTCTTCTGGATGAAGCTTGGTAATTATTTGATATTTCCTTTTTTGACGCATGAATGATGAATATTACTACTATTGTCAAGTTGGTTTACTGTTATGAACTTTTTCTGTCTATTAATATGTGGAAATAGCTGAGTTGTTGTTGTTGGTTTTTTTTTTTTTTTTTTTTTTTTTTTTTTTTTTTTTTTTTTGTAGTATGTTCCCAAGATCCACACACGAAACATTTGCCCAAAAACTGTACCAAACATTCAAAAATCATAAGCGCTTTGCCAAACCAAAATTGTCGCGTAGTGACTTCACAATTTGCCATTATGCTGGTGATGTAAGTAGGATCATTATGCACATTTTAATTCATTTATTGTATTTTTATGTCTTAGTATTTAGGGATGATGAATATATCTAGGACGGAAATCACACATGACAATGGTTTGATATAACTTTCAGGTCACCTATCAAACAGAGTTGTTCCTGGACAAGAACAAAGACTATGTGGTTGCTGAACACCAGGCACTTTTGAGTGCTTCAAATTGCTCATTTGTGTCTGGATTGTTTCCACCTTTAGCTGAGGATTCATCCAAAACATCAAAGTTCTCTTCAATAGGTTCTCGGTTTAAGGTTGTTTTTTCATTTACTGCTCTTTTTAAGGTAATTCAACTTGCTAACTTGAATAGTCTTGTAGTTTATGACTTCTTCGTTTGTACTCCATGCAGCAACAATTGCAACAATTGCTTGAAACGCTCAGTTCCACAGAGCCACATTACATTCGCTGTGTGAAACCAAATAACCTTCTTAAGCCAGCAATATTCGAGCACAAAAATGTTTTGCAGCAATTACGGTGTGGGGTAAGGGCATTGATATATGAAGACATTAAAATCTATATATTGATCAACCTGGTATATTATTGTTGCTACTAAAACTGTCTTTTATTCATGATCTATTTTCAGGGTGTCATGGAGGCTATTAGGATAAGTTGTGCTGGATATCCTACTAGAAAACCCTTCGTTGAATTTGTTGACCGATTTGGTCTCCTTGCACCTGAAGTTTTCAATGGGAGGTACACATTTTCTCTTAGCTTTCTAGTTGTTAGATTGTTTACTACACTGTCATAGGTCCTGATTTCTTCCCTTCTATTATGTGTTATATAGTACTGACGAGGTCACTGCTTGCAAGAATCTTCTACAAAGGGTGGGACTTGAAGGATATCAGGTATCTATTTTAGAAGCTCTAGAACAACCTTAGTATGATTTTAAATTTTAACTGCTTCCCCAGATTTTTTTTTGGGTGAGTTTCAGTCATTTTACATGGACCATTTTCTTTGGTTCAATAGCAAGGAGCATAATTTGTGGTTTATGATTGATACTAATAACTTTTAGTGTTAGAAAAGTTTGGCTGATCAATGTTTATGGTGAAAGCATGGTTGGTGAATCACATTTTTACTTCACTGCCTTCACCACCTACACTTAATGAAACTTGAATTTTTGGGTTCATAGGTTGCTTCATCAATGACAACGGATGCTAAAACGAAAAATCTCGACCTTTACTTCAATAGCTGTAATTTAGCTACTAGTTTTTTAATCTGTCTATATATAAGATTACATGGTATATGGTTTCCTGATGCAATCTTACTCATCCTTTTCACGTTTTTCAGATTGGTAAAACAAAGGTGTTTCTTAGGGCTGGTCAGATGGCTGATCTGGATGCCCGGAGGAGTGAGGTCTTAGGAAGATCAGCTAGCATTATTCAGAGGAAGGTTCGTTCTTACTTGGCGCGCAGAAGCTTCATCTCTCTTCGGAAATCTGCTAGACAGATTCAAGCTGTTTGCAGAGGTATTCAATTTTGTTGTGTACTATAGCTCATATCTATTGTCTAGGCCCTGAGAATTTCACATAGTGCTTAAGTCTTGTGATTGCAACTGCAGGAGAACTTGCTCGGCGAATTTATGAGGGAATGCGGAGAGAAGCTTCCTCTGTGATGATTCAGAGAGATTGGCGCATGCATGTTGCTAGAAAAGCCTACAAAGAATTGTATTCCTCTGCTATCTCCATCCAGACAGGTATGCGCGGTATGGCTGCTCGTAGTGAGCTCCGCTTCAGAAGGCAGACTAAAGCAGCAATTATTATCCAGGTGAGACAATCTTTATGCTGTGCAAATATATTCTTGAGATGTGAATATCATACGTGTTACTTGAAAACATCTTGCATGAAGTTGGATTATTATGCACCTTTATATAGCTATATGTATATTGAACTCATATTTTTATTTCACACTTTATTTTCTCTGAGCCATATGTCTATTAAACTCTATATCTTACAAATTATTATAATTTTGTTCCTCTACTGCAGAGTCAATGTCGCAAATTCTTAGCACGGCTGCACTATAAGGAGATCAAGAAAGCAGCAATCACCACACAATGCGCATGGAGAGGAAGAGTTGCTCGTAAAGAACTACGGAAGCTTAAGATGGTGGAGTATCTCTGTTTGATTTCTGGCTTTTAGGGGAAAAAAATAAATGTAGAGGTCTCAGTTATAAATTATCATTTTATTCATGCACAGGCTGCAAGAGAAACTGGAGCTCTTCAAGCCGCCAAAAATAAATTGGAAAAGCAAGTTGAGGAATTGACATGGAGGCTACAACTAGAGAAGCGCATGCGGGTATTCTGGCAATATTATTACTTATCTAAATTGCATTGCATCCAATTGCACAACTTCCCTTATGCTGTTAATTCTTTCTTTGAAAGTTCTTAGTTTTTTACTCTGAATTTCTAATATTTTCTTTTAAACCACTAAAAACCAGCTTTTATGTTAGTTGCTTTTCCTGTATAATAGTTCTAGTAAAGAAGGAAAGAGT